CAAAGGATTCTTTGACAGCTTTTCCAACCGGTAGTTGCTCTTGGCATTATGCTACCATTCGGGCTACTTCCAGATACCTGAGCGTCGCAGGGGTGAGGTCTGGAGGAGAATTTGTCATTTCGGGGTGCCACGCCGGTTAATGATATGCCAAAAGGTTAGTTACCTCGCTTTACCATAAATACTAACTGAAAGTATGCAGCTCAGGATCACGGGGCAGGCCACTTGCACCAGTAACTGATCGTTTCGGTGGTCTTGATATGATTTTAAACGAGAACGAAGTTGCGGGTAGTGTTGCGTCACTTCAACATTAGTGCATCATAGAATCGCAAATTTTACTCTTTTTTCAGGTGCATTTTTGTTGGGCTTGAAATCTCAGCGAACGCGTATGGCTCCGGGCAAGTACGATCGACGTAAACGCGGCCGATGGGAGCAGTACAATGCGGATTATAATGCAGACGATACTTCGCAGACGAGCAGTTTGGGTGAAAAAAGTAATGCAAGTGATACAGCTGGTAAGCGAGATTTCTTTTTGCCTAGCTTTTATGCACAGTTTTCATCCCGTCTCCCATGTATAGGCCTCCACTTTATCCGTTAACTACTCCCAGTGTTATCATGCATCAGCTGACAAACTTGGCGAAGAGTGCGATGGAGCGAAGGAAATTTCGAGTGTCTCTTCGTGACCGTTTAGAAGCAGCCTCAGGCGAATGAGGTGTAGAATGTTATTGTGCAATTGAAATGAAATCCGGTGGTCAGGGCATTTTGTACATCTCACTAATAATGTTTTTTTTTTCCAAAGTTTCATCTGCTGAGAGAAAAAAAAAAAAAAAAGTAACCACTGTAGTAGCCTCCGAAGCTGTCGATGGACAGGAGATTGTAGTTCAGGATTGAAGAGTTCCGCGATGGTTGCATTCGGTTTGTTGTGCTTCTATTTATCGGCGCTAATATGCGGCCTTTCCAGCAGTTCGTGATATTGGCATATGTTTGGGCAAATTTGCATTTTCGCCTTTTCCATATGTTTCTTCCATTTCTTTTAATTTCCGATCCATTCGTTTTCACACCTTGATCTAGTTTTGTTTAATCGTCCTGAAGAGTACAGGCTCTTTTTTTCAGTGCCCAAAGCAGCAAGCCACAATTTGGAGGGGCAAGCCATAGTGCCGCGTACGGATGAATTCGGAGCGAAAGATTACAGACAGGAAATGAAGCTGAAGCCCGATCATGCATCGCGTCCACTTTGGGTTGCGCCGGATGGACATATCTTCTTGGAATCATTTAGTCCGGTTTACAAGCATGCCCATGATTTCCTGATTGCCGTTGCGGAGGTTCGCTTTGCTTTCCTGCCGATTTAAAAAAATATAACACGTATCGGCAACGATCAAAAACCTTCCCGTGTTCACTTTTTTTGAAACAGTGACACAGCCCTAGTAATGGCACAGGCGGGCAGCAACCTCTCTCTGTCGAGGGTGCTTGTAGTTAAAAGGAAAACAGTTCCGATTT